CCACTGTTGCGACTGCAGAAAAGAAAGATGTATTCATAAGACTGCCTTTTGCAGGGGACGCAGCGAGCGAAATAGTCAGACGGCGCTTAACTACAGCTGTCACGAGAGCATTCCCCGCGGCGAATTTACGCGTATGTTTCACAAACTCTCCCCTCCTACGTTTGGGAGGTAAAGACAGACTACCGTTGGAGGCCACATCAATGTGCATCTACTCATTCACTTGCTCCTGTGGAGCAGGATACATCGGCCGTACAACGAGACGCCTGGTAAAGAGGGTGCGTGAACATATGCCCGCCTGGCCAGGCAGAGGTGAGACCCGATCGGTTTCGAGTTCTATTCTCGCACATTTAATCGATACGGATCACCGAGTCGATGCCAAGGAAGCATTTCAGGTTGTCTATCGGACACCAACAAGCTTCTCTAAAGGCCTACGCCAACGGATACTAGCAACGGCCGAGGCAGTGGCAATACGGCTAACGAATCCGGTGCTATGCTGTCAGAAAACCCTGACACAAGCGCTCTCTCTGCCGTGGCCAACGCCAACCTCACGTGATGACGACATGCCGCCTCAAATCCCTGATTACAGTGATGGGTACTCCGTGTACTCAATCCAAGAGCATCACTCAAAAACTCGCTTACCCCCCTCCCCCAGCCCTAAGGACCAAAACCCGCCGACCTCGTCATGCGGGCGGCGTGGGAAAGATGAGTGTTAATGACATAATTGACCCTTAGACACCTATAAAGACTGTTAATTTTGTACACTTTCACTCCTTCATGTAATTGTACTGGCCTGACGAAGAATTACTGAAAACACGTGTTAGCCAACTTGACTTTTCAAATTCGCTTTACTTTAAAATTATAAATTCAAAATTTTCAGCAAAAAGTTGGCTCCATTCACAATGGGCAGTAAATAAGTTAACAGATTATTCCGGAGTCAAACAGTTTAACACAAAGGGAACTACTATTATGGGAGCAGTTATTCTTAGTTTCTGTATTTCTGTCTCTTAACACGTAAGATAACGCCCCAGAAATGGCAATGTAGAAGCTCGACAAGCCGATGTGCGACAAAACATAAGACGGTAAACGTCGACGCATCAGGCGGGAAGACTTTGCAGAATTAAGATCAGAAGGCTAGGGATGGGCAACGTCATCCACAATCCGACCTGCAAATTGCCTAACCGTATTGAAATGTTGTTGTGGGATAATATCGACTGGAAAAATAAAATAACCACCAGCGGCAGAAGAGAGCATTCGGAGGACTCGTTTTAAAATTAAAAGATCTTTTTGAGCAAAGCAGGAAAAATGACAAAAGCATAAGAGGAAGAATGCAGGTATCGATGAATCGCCAGACTAAGGATTGAGGTGTGTGCTAGGAACGTAAACGAGGAATGTAATAAAGAGGCTCACGAACGGTAGTAAATAGGGACTCGATATGGAGGGAAAATGAAAGATTTTATGAAAAAGTAACGCCAGGATACTTCAAAGGGGATACGTCGCTAGGAAGAATGTCAGAAAAGTCAGGACTAGGAGAGGGCCGCAGTCGGAAATTACACTGAACTTATTTTTAGTTTTTCATAAGGAGACCATTTTCCTCCGACCATACTAGAACATGGTCAAAGCCATCCTTTAGAGACTGGAGGTGTGTCTGATTTTTGAGAGGTTGTCCTCCAACTACATCTCCAGTATACTTTACCAAAAGGCAGTCGTTAAGGGATCTTCGAAGATCGGTGTGGAGGGAGGAGAGGTGAGGGTGTTGCGATAATCAGTGAGACGCTTAAGATTATCCCATATTTCAGCAGAGGAAGAGGGAAAAGAGGGGAGGAAGAGGAGGTAAAAAGCTGAGTAAGGGCCAGGTTATTTAGCCTGTCAATCTCTGTTTTTATTAAGACGGTAACGTCCTTAAGGATGTCACATACGCCTAGCTTGTAACATAGTTCTTTTTTCATTGTAAGCATTTCAGACAGGGCGAAGAAATTCTATCCGGTCGTACCATCACGGCATGAAGAGGACAGCAGATATCAAAAATTCTATCTAAAAACGCTGTCAGATTGGGAGAACATGATGTAACGGCTGACTGTTTAGGGAAAGCGGGTAAGTTTAAGATATGCCCGTCTGAAGCAAGTGAATGTTTTGTGCGGACGTGTTGCGAACCTTAACCTTTATCTCAGGCTTGGCTAAGAGTGCACGTTTAGTTGTGGAATAGATTTTTGAAGGCCCAATAAAGTAGAATGATCAGAACCTGACAAGGGTGCCCTATTTTATCACAAAAAGCTTGTTGTGGTTGATTAGAATGCGATCAAGAGGAGCACCTGCGTGAGTATTGAAGGAGTGAATATCATCAAAGCCTTAACGTCTGAAGGGACGTACATTCAAGCGATTAGAATCACCGCATAAGAGGATAAGATATATGCATGACAATGTAGCAAGTTGTTGTGAAAGTCGAAAAACGGCTTAAAGAAGCTTTACGGGTAGCGGGGAAATATAAATGCTAACGTATACCTTTAAATTTACTTAAAAAACGGGGATTTCACAGGACAGCGATGAAATCTATCAAGTCAGCATAGTAAGAAAATAGGGAATTACGGTCTCTACACCAATCTTGATTTTAAAAGTGGCAACGCCTCCACCTCCGCCACAAGATAAAGATTTTCTATCCCTTCGAAATCAGTGGAAAGATGTGGGAGCAATAAGTTGCGAATAAATTTCATCGTTTAACCTTTTATCTTGAAGGCAAACCGCTTCAGTTCTACCGTGTTCTTTTTTTGACAAAGGTAGCTCAAATCGTGGGTTTTGTTGAAGATAGAACGACAATTTTTCGACAAAGGGCCTGTAATTGACAAGTTGTCACTTGGCTAACGCTTAAATGCGAGTCGCCAGCCACACCTTTGTTGACGCAAATTTGAATAAAGTTAGCACAGAATGATCACAAATACGGCCGAAAAATGCATTAGTTTGCATCATGGACATTTGTTAGTGTAACTGACGATTTACTTTCCTCCAAAATGTTGCTAGCTTACCGTAGAGACGACCTCATAATCTTGGTTCAGACAAACAAGGGGTGTAAAACAGTTCAATGTAGCGAAGGGAAATAGGCAAAGTAATGTAAGATTTTTAAAAATCCACACTTGAATGGAGAACTGCAAAAATGCGTCTCAAATTCTAAAGCCCGCCGCAAAAAGTATCTACTTAAATAACGCGCATTTTACAGGGATTTTGATGGTCTAATAAATTCAAATATATTCTATTAAAATGCATAAAAAAGCCGTTTTCGCTTACGCATTTGTTTCCTAATTTCATTATCTTCGCAGTTCATACATAGAGAAAGAATACACTATGGTTTTTAAAAAGTTTCTAATTATGAGATTTTTTAAGACCGTGCAATTTCCATTCATACGGCATCGTATCTCTCCGTTTGCCAATGTTCCTCACGAAATGCACATGATAGTCCTCATCCATTGCAGCATTTTATGAATTCTATGGGGTATATTTATAAAGGCATGAAGGAATATATGGTTTTCCATACGCGGAAAGCATGCACTCTGTAGACTCAAGTCGCTGAACGTTAATGCAATGGATGGTTGGGCTCCAAATAATTCAAGAATAGGAGATTCTTTTCGAAACTTAAATATATCCTTCCTTCGGCTATAATGTGTGAAGACAACGTGATTTTCTACCAAACGAGTAAACGAAAGCATGCTTTTTATGCATGTTTTCTAGAAACTAGGGTTGCATTTGTAAGGTCATCAAAAATCAGTGTGAAAGTTCACGCTGCGTAAGTCGTCACTTTTTTGCCCAGTAAAGTTTCTGCAGGAAGTCGAAAAGGAGTGCATTCAAAAGCCGACACCCTGGCAAGTCCTAAACACTGTAGGAGTATGTCGCATGGTGATTCAGTACTACAGCTCCACATAGGTAATACTTCCTAATCTAAGACGCATTTCAGAATTTTGGCCAGCACTTCATGAGATCGGTCACTTACTGCATATTCTAGTTCGCAAGACTTTTTTAATTTAAAAACCAAAGGTCGTTTACTTGTTGGAGAACGAATGGACTACTTAGGTCAATTCCCGTATTATCGTGATATGTCTCTAATAGCCATGCTTATGAGGTCACGCAAAAAGTAAATGCTAGGCCGTTGGTAGAAGACTTTAGCTGCCCTACGAAGCCTGCAACATCAGGGCGAAGAAGACTACGGAATCAACGTGTTGTTCACGCCTTAGTTTATATTCACATAAACAAAGATCATATAAACAAGTTGGCCTTGTGAGTTTGGGGATATGACGGAAGAATTGGAAGATACTAATGCAAGCCGTTGTAATTATAGACATGGGGTTACCGTCGTTGTCTATGGTAACAAAACAACGAGATCGAATTTGCCCGCGAGTCTCGTTAAGAGCGGTAATTGCCAATTTGAGGTGTCCCAAATGGGAAGGCAGGGAAGATATCTAGATTGAAAATCTTTTTCCGGGGTCTAGAGTGTACAGGGAGTATCGCGAGCAGTTGCAGCTAGCATTCTCGCCGTATCAGCCGAGTCTTATTCGCCCTAAATTCGTCCAGCTGCGGCTAATCGGTGAAGAGAGGAACATCGATCTGTGCCACTGCGGCGCAAGCGGGAGACGGAGTCTCACTTTGGTAAAAGTGTCTGTGCACAAGAATATCCGCTACCCAACATAATTTTTATTCTGAAAATGCGAGCTGTTCTCATAACTTGATGTTCCCAATCGGTAGCAGACTTTGCATCCATATCAAAGCACGCAGGTTTGGATTCTTAATTTCATCAAAGTTGCGCTTTGGATCAGCATATGGACATCTTCCTTGTAAATATTAAATACCTTTTATAGCCCTTAGTTTAGCAAACAGTCATTTCACACACCGGGGAAAATCGCTGTCTAAATTGGTTGCCCCTGATGTGTGGGCACCGTATATCTTTCAAAATAACAACTGATAAAGCAGCTTTACTTGCGAGTCGTTTATTTATCTAACATCAGAAAAATGGCTGAAGTTTACATGCGAAGGGTTACTGCTCCAGCAATCTCGCTAAGCGATTCCAGTGTGCCCTTGGGTGACCAGATCCAAGCGGTCAAGTCATCGTCCGGGTTGGCTGAACATTCTGGTGCTGTGAGCTCCTCTACCGTGTTGTCTACAAATGTTAAAATATACTTATAAGGAAAGTTTTTCACAAAAAACAATGTCAGAAAAATAAACAGACCAAAAGGGATAGGCAGTATTCACTGTAATGGTGCGATATGAGCATTTAGAAAAAACGTGCCAGATTAACATTTACAGCGAGTGTCGCATGCTGACGCAGTGCGTGGCATGAAAAACAGAGAGAGAAAGAATGCATTTTATTGTGTGTTGCATTTCTACCGTTGCCGCCGAGAGCAAAGACGACGTTAGCGGAGGCGAGAAGAGTGAACCCAGAGCGAGGCTCCTGCATGCCAGCCAGTTCTGTCCACTGGCCGAGGGGACTGCCGGCTTCTGGCGGCGTAAACATCTCCACAACGTCTACAGTATCGTTCTCGCTGTCCACTCCACCGGCGACCAGGATTGTTCCCCGAAAGGGTGCCGCTGCGAGTCTCCATCGCGCAGTTCTCATGGGAGCAGCTGGTTGCCAAAAGTCAGGTGAGGTCGCCTGCTCCCGCCAGTCTGCTCCCAGATGACAGAACTTCACGGAAGCGAGGGGGAAGGAACCATTAAAGCCACCAAAAACGAAGACCCGATTGTCGCCGGGCAGAGAGGCAGCAGCTGGGGCCCACCTTCTCTCCTGCAGATCAGGCAGTTTGTGCCATCTGTTGGGCAACCAGGCGAGCTAGGAAAAGAAAATAAATATTTTGACAAAAAAAATAAATGGGCGTCAAGACCGGGCGTCTACACTCACCTGTCCTGCCTGACATCATAGATTTCACAAGAGGAAGGTCTATTCCATAAACTATAAAGTCCATTTTCCCGTCCACCAAAAAGCCCAATCATGGGCTCCTCCCCGTTGGCAGCATCGGGAATCTTCACGACGGCGGCTGCGTGCTCACGGCGTCCAACGGCGAGGGGCGCCCGCTCACGCCAGCGTCCTTCTCTTACCAGAAATTCATCAACGCGCCGCATAGAGTCACCATATCCTCCTCCAACAATGAAAATGCTCTCTTCCGTTTGACGGGTGTGGGTGGGGTGGAAAAAGTGCAATACATATAGTAGCCCGCTGACGTATCAAGGGACTTTGCGTAAAACGAATTGTCTGATGTGCTTTATTAGGCTTAAAGAAACATCTTGATGAGCTCTAAATCCACGACGTGATGGCAAAGTGAACTGACATTTAGGGCCTGCACAGAGGGGCATTAGACTGCAGTCAAACAACTATCCGGCAACTCACCACCCACGACACTGTAGGTAGCCCAGGAACGGTCTGCTTCCATGTCAGCAACGCGTTCTGCCTGCTGCAGCTGCGAATTGGCTCTGAAAACAGACCAGCCGTCTTCGGCATCGTCGTCCCTTCCAAAGACGAAGAAGACTGCCTGGCGTCCACGAGGTCTTACGATGAAGGGACAGGGTCGCCTGTTCTTGTCTGCGTCACCAATCCAATTCAAGATCTGGAACATAAGTCGTCTTTTGGTGAGAAAATAACAGGGCTGCAGTGCCGTGTACTTACAGACATTCGCGACTTCCCCAGAGTGTTGGACAACTGTCCACCAGGCGATCACGACATTCCACGGACGTCTGGTGCCACTGTACCTCCTTTATCATCGTCGGAGCGTGCGCTTCCAGTCTCCCATCATCCGCCAGGCCAGGACCAGCATCCACCCAGCGTGCAATAGCCGCGATAATCGACTCCTCAGACGCCACAGACAGTTCGCTGCCTCGAAGCACAGTTAGCAGGGTTTCAGCTGGCAAGTGAACGAATAGCTCAGTTGGCACAAAGTCTTCAAAGTGCGCCTTCATCAGCCAGAGACACCTCTCCGTCAGAGCGTCGACATTCAGCGACCTCGCAAAGTCCCAGATGTCAGACAGATTTTCTAAGCAGACGCTTTAGAGCAGGCAGTTAGACGGGAAATGTGTGTACCCCTTGACCAAGAATGCCACTCCCCAATCCACCAGGTGAGACATCTCCAACATTCTTGCAAGCGTCACCATGCCCCTCGCATTGCCTTCTGTCACCTCTACTCGGCCCGTGTAGACATACTGAATGAACTCAGTTGCGAGGCTAGAAAGCGCAGAGGCAGTAAGCTAAATCACAGAATCAACGGCACTTTTACCTGTGAGGCAGTGCCGGCCACCTTAGAACGGAGTTCACCTCTCCGAGAGGACCCCTGAGAGCGGCTCTCAAAGACGGAATACGAGCCGCCAGTATAATTCGATCGGCGTGGAGAACATTCCCGTCCTTTACCTAACACGCAGGCACGCACGAATATTCACGGTAAGGGAGGCTACCTCTATCGTCAGGTCTTTAATGTCTTCAGCAAGGCGAATTTCGTTCAAAGCAGGACAGCTTCGGATCAGGGGATATTCGTCTTCGAATACTTCTGCTCGTGCGAGTGCCATTCGGGGCTGGATCCACGGAATGCCATTAGGGCCGTGAGCGCTGTCTTTTATTCCTCTCCTGCCACTACGTGCGCACGCGTCGATGACCTACAGGTTCTGATTTACTGATAAGAGCACACAGCGGATTCAATTGAGCGACGGATGGCACAGCAAGAGCGAAGCGAATTATTGAGAAAAAAGTAAACGCGACTCCTTCGTTACTCAAGCTTCATCTGACTAGATGGCGCTACTAGTGAACAAGTAGGCTGACGTGTGCCCTGCCAAGAATAAGAAAACCTATGCTTCGTCTGTGCACATGAGAGTATTTATCTTTTAAAAAAAGAGTGATTTACCTTCGATATTTTTAAAACAAATAGGGACTTGCATTCTGGAAACTTAATGTTTTGTCCATTGCTAAGTGTACGAATCATATTTCAAACTCAAAGGTTATTTTTCAGAGGCCAGAACTTTTAACTATTTTAAAAGTTACATTAGCAAATCCGTGTGACTTGAAGCTGTAAAAGGCCAAAACTGTTTTTTAATTTGGAAAATAGTATCAGTTGCCATCAAAATATCTACCGCTGAATAGTCATTTTCATTTTGGACATATTAAACGCTACTTTTCGTGTACTCTGGTACGCAATCGTAATCGTAGAACAGAGCCTAAATTGGGCAAACTTACCGGAAATGACCGCAGTATAAAATGAGAAAACATGTTTATCCATTTTCACCATACAATTTAACAGTAAGTTTCAGCAACTAGAAAGCAACTGTCAAACGTAACCATCCTTTTTCTCGGCTCCACCGTTTGAAAACATAAAGAACACGGACATTCGTCAACAGAATACAGCATAAAACACACCCTAAGATTTGTTCGTTGATTGGACAACCTGTCGAAAATTACACCTTGGTCTACCTCATTTATCTCTTTGTTGGTTGTAAGAAATAACTTATTATCGGTACCTGACTACATGGGTTTTCGGCGACATCAGATTAGATTCGCAATCTTTGGACAGCTGCTCTAGTTCGGTGCTCTTACTAATTACCTTCAGTGAATAACGCTCTGGTCGTCTTTTGGCTATCAGATACGCCTCCGCATACGCTGCGTAATGAATATTAGGCCGACACTTGTCCACTGACGCATGTCACGCGAAGTAGCAAATGGATGTTATCGTGTTTTTTGCGTTTACACTCCTTACCTCCAGATCGATTCGCATTATTTTCAGAAACAGCATTAGCGCTACAGTCCCCACCGCATCGAATAACGGCTTTGTCCGCCTGGGTGGCTTGTCTTAACTTAACACAATTTTTTTCTTTTTAGAGTTTGGAGTTCATGTCCACAGCAGAATCGTCTGTTTTCACAAAAAAGGCGCAATGGACGCTATTTTAACAGTAAGTTAGAGCGGTATTTCGCCTCATAATGTTATCCGGTCACTGAAATGGGATGTTTTGTTAAGTTGTGCGTCCTACCTTTCGGTAAACAGTAAGTTCCTCGGACGACGAGGGGCTTTCTTTAACAGCTGTCAGAAGGACAATGATTAAGAATCAAGATGCATCATTCTATCCCACTCTCTCCAACTGAGAGATATTTTTACTTTCCAGGCTGCACCCTTCAATACCCGACGCCCTCCTTCTGTCAAAAGTTGCCAACAAAGTGCACGTCAACATATTATCAGCCTGTGGTCTTGGGCTAGTATTTTTTTCTTTATCGGGACGTCAAGTGCCTCTCGAAGAAAGGGAGCAGCTCGCTCACTTAGTTACTAATTGACTGACATCTCAATGATCAGATAAAGCAGGTCAGATTGTAAGCGTTTAAAATAATTCCACAAAATACACTCAGAGTAACAATTCTGCAAGAAGGAACTTTTTCTAGGGACTAGCGGGAACACAACCACCTATTTCCTTACACCGATGATTATAAGCTCGTCCTTGAGAAATATTTGTGTTAAGGTCCCCTTTAAGATGCAAATCTTCGTTAAAGCTGTGCGGTTATCAGCTGTCATTTCAAATGACAACGTTGAAATTTGCCATGTTTGCAGAGGTAGTGTGCATTCCGAGGTAATACGATATAGACAAAAGACTTGTGGGAAAAAAACCCAGTTGTACTCGTTAATTTTCGAGGTGGTGACGCCAACCCGTCGTCAGACGAAATAAATAGAGGAGAAAGTGGAATGATCAAACTAACTTGGTTGGCGTGACAGTGCAGCCACTACCAGGCAAGTAACAAATGTATGAAATGGGGTAGACACATAATTAATCTAGGATCTGTGGCAGGGGGAAGGGAAGGGAAAAGAAATGCGGCTCCCCGTGTTGGTGGGTAGGGGGGATGAGGATTCAATGGAACTTTGGACAGTGGACTTAATGGTCGTCGACCCGGCATGCGGGCAGAGGTCAGTGAACCCAACGTAGAGGTGTTAGGGATTGCTGTTGCGGTTCGCTGTGTCGGAGGATGTAATGGGGTGACGAAATAGTGCGATTCTACATGGCCCGGTGTGGATTAGCGGCTGTTGTTAGGTCGTGGGCGCAAGTCAGTGAGCCGGGCACGCAGACCTTCGTAATGAGCATCTAGATCGACATGGCGATTGATGCTTGTCGTGCAAGAGTGCCAGGCTTCGAGGAATTCACGAGCATGTTTGGTGTTCGCCATGGCAACAATTTCACTTCCTTCCCCATTGAAGCGATGGTCGCATTCAAGGGCGTGCGCAAACACGAGTGACAAAGGGTCACGTCGGCGGATGACTAATTTATGCTCGTTTATACGCGTCCCAAGTCGTCGGCCTGTATGACCAACATAGTCGCAAGAGCAGTTGGCACACGGAATGCGGTAGATGACATTGGTTTGCTGCTCTTTAGGTATGGGGTCCTTCACTCGCGATAGTATTGCGAGCACAGAGGACGCTGGCTTGTGGGCAATAAAGATGCCAAACCGGTTTAGTGGTCGGGCGATCGCCTCGGAAATACCCTGCATATAGGGTAGAGAGTAGAATTTCCGTGGTTCTGCTCCATCATTAGAACCAGCACCATGTGGTTGTCTCCGATGTCTGAGAAAATTTTTAACAAAGCTGATCGAGTATCCGTTGAGGCGGAATAAGCGATACAAGAAAGCGAATTCTTTCCTAAGTAGATCATCGCGGCTGCAGTAACGATAGGCCTAGTGGAAAAGGGTTCGGACACAGCTCCTTTTATGAGCCGCGGGATGGTTGCTTTCATAATTAAGAATGACGTCGGCACTGGAGTCTTTTCGGTAGACGCTTGTTCCAAGGCCGTCATCACTAACTGTTTTGATACTAACGTCTAGAAACGGGAGAATGCCTCCTGTTGCCTCTTCGCGAGTAAACTGGATCGCTGGGAAGACGCTATTCAGACTCAGATGTAGTTGCTCAATTTCACAGGTCTTCATGATATCAAACCTATCATCTACGTATCGGAGCCACATATTTGGTTTAAAGTTCCGCACAACTTTCTCCTCTAGTTGTTGTAGTACTAGTTCAGCTAGTAGACCTGCTATTAGCGAGCCCATTGGTGTACCCCTAACCTGTTGATAAAACTTTCCATCGAATTGGCAGTAGTTCCTGAGACCGAGTCCAAGAAGTTCTGAAATGTGTTCTGTTGGAATGTTGGTTAGATTATCTTGCAGGCGTCGGGTTACGCTCTCAATCGCCAGCTCATGTGGTATTGAGGAAAACAGGGCAACCACATCAAACGATAGAGTACACTCATCAGGACTTACTTTCAATCCTTGGATCTTCTGGAGGAATGTCTGAGAGTTTTTGATGCTATACTGTGATCCATTTGTGAGGTGCTCCAGGTGCCTGTATAAACATTTAGCGAGGTTGTAGGTGGGCGATCCAATAAGCGGCACAATGATCCGCATGGGAGGCCATATCAATGGGCTATTCGGGGGTCGTTGAGAGTCATGCATCTGGAGTCATCGGGGGTTAAGAGTTTCAGTCGAGTGAGCTCATTCACCTTCTTTTTCACAGCTGCGGTTTGCTTTTTGGTCTAGTCCTCCGCGAGTAGTGCATAGGCTTCCCTGTCGTTGAAGACTTCGTTCGTCTTGTTGAAGTAATCCACTTTTTTTTGACGACGGTCGCGCCACCTTTGTCAGCAGACACAATCAAAATACTGTCGTCTGTCTTAAGTGACTGCAACCCTTTTTCTTCATCGATGGGCAAGACGTGGTGTTGCTTCATTTGTTGAAGGAGACCAGTAGCACAGCTGCGACGAGCCTTCTATCTTCATCATATTACCTCGGAGTGCACACTACCTCAGCTATTCATTATATATATATATGTATATAGGAAGAATAGCATAACCGACAAAGACAAGGGAGACTGGAATGGCCATTTCTGGCTTATTAGCCGTCGTCAGCCAGCCATACCGAAGCCCGATGTGTGGAACACCCGAGCCTCGAACTCGCG